AGGTTCTCAGATGCCATGTAAGACTTTTAATGCCTCACAACACACTTAAAGAGGAATGAATCTGTCCTGAGGCTATGGGAAAGTAGCTCTTCTGATAAAATAATCCATGAAACTCCAAATTCAGCACTCCTCCATTCCTTCCTTTGCAATGCTAGACAGAAATAAAGGCTGCTGAATTAATCTGGAATCTTATAACACACATGACTTCTTGTAATCTGAATTGTAGCCTCTGAGGTACTTCATGATGATGTGCTCTCTCTCTCTCGCTCTCGCTCTCTCAATAAATCGGTGTCACTCCATTGAAGTCAATGATTCTAATGGAGCTGTGCTGCTTTACACCAGCTGAGGATGTAACCTTCTGTTTTAAAATGTTACAAAATGTAAGTTGCTATGTGTGGATTTTCCTTCCAGCCCCCCGCCCCTTTTTATCCTCCCTCCCTCAGTTCTTTAGACAGTCATTATACATATTAACAAGCCTGGTTTGGAAATGATGAATGTTATTAATATTCTTCTAATTCAATAATCCTGCTCATATTTGAACTGCGTGCAATATTTTTCTGCTTTCTTCAGCTTTCCACTAATTCAAACATATGACAAATGTGAGTCTTGGTTTCAGTTTTCTATTATTTCCCTTGTCTGATCAAATACATTAACAGACTGTCATTCCTTTCCCAGGAGTGATGCCCATATGTTGAGGAAGGCAGGGTAAAAATATTACCTATTCAAACAGGAGAAGATAAAAGTTATCATACATTATTCACTCTTCCATGCAAACCAGACAGAGATGCTGATCCTACTCCTTTCACCTTGACAGTGCCCACCATGTGTAATGGTAAATATAGCAAGATTTGCAGAATCCACATCAATCTGGTCTTCCTTGCACTATATTATAATTTCCCCTTACAGTCCATTCTCATCTCTTCACACAGTAGCAGTTACTTTAATCACACACAATGGCAGTAGTTACTTTAAACAATAGGAAAGAATCCACTGTCCTCTCTAATGCACACTCCTCCCAGCCACGTGGCACCAGTGTTCCCGGGCTTCATGCTGTCAAGGCACTTTTCTCTATTTGGACAATCAAGGGAAATCTTCAGAATGATTCCTACCTAGCTACAGTTGTTAGACAGTGTGCCATAGGAAAAGAGATGCTGCAGGAAATGGATTCTCATTTAAGGACAGGTTTCAGAGGAACAGCCGTGTTAGTCTGTATTCGCAAAAAGAAAAGGAGTACTTGTGGCACCTTAGAGACTAACCAATTTATTTGAGCATGAGCTTTCGTGAGCCACAGCTCACTTCATCGGCTGTAGCTCGCAAAAGCTTATGCTCAAATAAATTTGTTAGTCTCTAAGGTGCCATAAGTACTCCTTTTCTTTTTTCATTTAACTGTGTTGCATCCCATTCTCCAGCTCCCTGTCATACATCTTTACCATTCTCCTACCCACCCAAATTGCTAATGTAAAAAGAAGGCTACTTCCCTCACTACAGGTCTTTATTTGATAGATGATGATGTAATGATTGATCTGCAGCTGTACAGAAACTGGGTTATACACACTGTACCTTTGGCATACTGAACCAAGAGTTCTGCTCCTCTACTTCCTTTCTCTCTTTCTCTCTCAATATTTCATAGCTGTTAAGACCCTGAAGGAACCATTAGGATCCTCTAGTCTGACCTCCTCCATTTCTTTTAATGGGGCACAGCTGTTTACAAAATATGCCGTACAAAGACATATGAGGTAATTTGCTCTCTGAATTCAGGCACTAATACCAAATGCTTACATACTTGTTTCTCAGTTATGTGTGTTTGTTCTAAAGATGGAAATGTATAAATCAAAATTCCAGGTTCAAGATGTGGAGTTAAGTATCAGCGGGGTAGCCGTGTTAGTCTGTATCCACAAAAACAACAAGGAGTCCGGTGGCAGCTTAAAGACTAACAGATTTATTTGGGCATAAGCTTTTGTATGTAAAAAACCCACTTCTTCAGATGCAGGAGTGAAAATGACAGATTCAGGAATAAATATACTGGCACATGATCCCTTCTCTTCATGTGCCAGTATATTTATGCTTGTATTTGTAATTTTTACTCCATGCATCTGAAGAAGTGGGTTTCTTACCCGCTAAAGCTTATGCCCAAATAAATCTGTTAGTCTTTAAGGTGCCACTGGACTCCTTGTTGTGGAGTTAGTTTCAGAATTTTAACTTACTCGTCTAGAAAGACAGAGGCTAATGTAAAATGATCCATTTTTAAAAATAAAACACTGTGGTCCAAGTAACTTTCATTAACGATTTTGCATCAGTGAGAATAATTAATGCAAATTGCATTAAAAAAACCACCACTGTTACTTTGTTCTGCCCTTATGAGAATGCAATTGCTTTTTAATTGCTTTTTTCAAATAGTGTCACCTGTTGAACTTCCGTTTCCAGTCCCAGTTTTGCATACCAGCCTGCCATAATTTTAGAGAGACAACCCTTGTTAAAGTAGGAGTGCCTGCTTTACCTGGGTTAGGTCAGCGATGTCAGGCTTGGAGTGCTGAAGAGAGAACATTGCTCAGGTTTTCTGGAGCAAACCAATGTGAGTGGACTAGTTGAACATCTGTGTCATTGCATAATCCTTAAGGTCAAAACAGGTGTGGTCCCCCCCCACTCCCCATTTGCATAGCAAGAGAAAATGGATGCAATTTTTTTAGTTTTACCTTCTTTACTTTCAAGCTATTTGTAACGAAATCACTCTGACAAAAAACACCTACTTTGAGAGACTATGGTATTTGTCCATTTCTTCAGGCCTCTGGGTCTTTTGTTTTGGTTGTTGGTTAGTCTTTATGCAGGGGCCTTGAATCTGCATTACTTGTGAACCCAAAACACGCATGACCTCGACAGCTGTTTTGAGTGTGCAAGGAATGCAGGATCAGCCCTTAATTCATAGCAGGCACAACCTGGAGTGGGGGGAGCAAGAGCAAAGGTGGACCTAAGATACCTTTGTGTCTCCTGAATTTGAGGCACTTAGGCTGCAGTACAGCCCATGCCACATCCTACCTGCTGCACATGGGCATGATGGCTGGTGGTGACTCTGGGTTCGAATTCCTGTACCCTGGAGTACAGGGTTCTTTCATGGTGTGCAGTGGGGAGCAATGGGAGAAGGGGTCCCTCCCCACACAGCTTTCACTGCATTCTAGGCCCTTTTGTGGCAACAGGGACAAGGGTAGGATTTGTCCTGGTAGTGAACTGGGATATAGAGTCTCTAGCCTGCAGACAGAATAAAACTCACTGAACTGTTGCAGATTGCAAGCCAGCTTTGTGGTTATTGTGATCCCCCTACTAATACCATAGTGACAGCAGGGTTTGTGTTTGTGTCCCAAGGGATTGACATAGCCATTCCAATTGCTTGGTTAAATAATATTCTGCTGACTTCCTTGGATTTGTTCTTTCTTCCTCTCCATCCCCCCTTTTAAAGCTATGGTTTGAAAAGAACTCATAGATGAAAGACACGGCATGTAAATAAAGGTAAGACAATGCCAGCAAACAACAAAACCAGCAGCGACCATTCCAGCACCCCCACTTCTAAAATTGTTCCACCACCACTGCATTGTCTGTTTCCCATGCCAGTGTAAAGTTATCACTCACTTGGAATCCCCTGTCTATTGCTAGGCTAAGTCTCAAGCCTAAATTGAAAGTAGTTTTTAAAGGTACCTGTTTAAAAAACCCATGCTAGTATATTATTTTGTGTGGGGTCTCTGGCCACAACCAGAAGTATGATGGACATTACTCAGAAAGCTAGTAGGATGATAGAGTGTATATTGAGGGCGGTGTAATAACATAAATAACTTCAAACAGATACGATTTAGATAAGAGTGAGAAATTTTAAATTACAAATGGGAAATTATCTTGACTCAATTACACATTTAATCAAAAACGACCCTGCTCTCGTTAGAAGCAGTATAAAGGCAAAATACTGTGCTTATAACTAAAACGTGATAAAATCTTACAGTCTAAAGGAAAGGACAAAACTCGTTACAGATAAGCAGCGCTCCCATTTCCCTCGGATTGCTTTTTATTTAAACGCAAGGGCTAAAAAGGAAATCGCTTTCAAGTATCTGCCAGTAATCAGCCTAGCCTCTGGGCGCTGATCATTGCAATGGGCTCCCTTTAACCTCAACTCTGATCCGGAGATCAGGATCCTGGGATCCTCAAAATATTAAACATCAGCAGCAAAATTCCCTGGCCCTTCTTCGTACTATTATTATTATTATTATGTATGAGATTAAAATGCAGAACATCCGCCCTGGTGTCTGCTATTGTATCTCGGTAGTTAGCCAGGCTCCTGCCAAAGAGATCGCTATTGCTTTAAACCCCCCTGCTGTCAGGAAATTGAAAAAGTATGCAGCAGCGGGCCTGATTTGCAAAAGGCTGAAAGGAGCGCGCTGCTTTGCCCCCCTTGGAGAGAGGCTGTGAGCGTGTGCCTGTGTCCAGCAGGGCTGGCCGGCGAGTGTGGCGTGAGGGACAATATGCACAGGACGTGAGAGCGTGTGTGCAGTGTATACACACACACACACACACACCGAACAGAGCCTCTCACACGCACACATCCGTTCCCATGCAAACGCCTCCTGGGTTTCCAGCGGGGTGACTGGCAGACCTGGCGGCGAGAGAAAAGGGTGTGTGTGTGGGGTGTGTGTGTGTGTGTGTGTGTGTGGGGGGGGGGGTGCATGCGTGCACGCTGCCCCTTTAAGAGCCCCGGGTGCGCGCAAAAGCCCGCCTCCCCTTTTCCCCGCGCGCCCCCGCCTCCTCTCTCCCTCTCTCCGCTTTAAAGTCTGAGCCAGGCTCCGGGCTCACATGGTGCTTCCTGTATGGGAGAATGGAGCCCGTCCAGCCGCCGCCCGGCCGCCGCCCAGCCCGAACTGCCCGCGGCACGGACTGAGCGCCTCCGCCCGCCCGTCGGTTCCTGCCATGGCTTGGCCCCGGCTGCTGCCCGCCTGAAGCGCGAGGGAGAGCCCGAGCCCGAGCCGCGGCGCTTCTCCTCCTCCTCCTCCTCCTCCTCCTGCTGCGGCGGCTGCAAGGGGACTGAACTTCTGCGCGCCCGCCCGTGAGCTGCCCCCCGGCCTCGGCGCTGCCGCTCCGGGCCCGGCGCTCGCTGCGTGCGGGGCTTCCCGCTCCGGCTGCCCCCGCCCCCCAGCGGCGGGCGTGGGCTCCCCGCGGTCTCCGCTGCCCGCTCGGCCGGGGCGGTGGGGTGCGTGTCTGTGGGGGGTGTGTGTGTGTGTGTTTTTGTTTTGTTTTTGTTTTGTTTTGTTTGTTTTTTGGCGGGGGGGGGGTGGGTGGCCGCGGAAGGCACGGCGCCAACTTCTTTGCAACAAGTTCCAGCCCCTCGCCCCCTTTCGATGTGCGCCTTTGGACATGCGGAGGCTACTGCAACCGTGTTGGTGGATCTTCTTCTTGAAAATCGCCAGCGCCGTGCTCCACTATGTGGTGTGCTTCCCCGGTGAGTGGCGCGGCCCGGGGGCGGGCGGGGGGTGCGGGGGAACCCCGGGCTCCCGCTTCGCGCGCTCCGCGGCGCCGCCTGGCCCGGGGGGGGGGGGTCCCGAGGGTGCGTGGCCCGGCGTGGCGGCTGCTCCTCCCCGGGGCACCGGAGAAACGGGGGGTGTTCGACCACCCCTGGCCACGGGCGTGCGAGACCCACACTTGGGGGGCGGCGGCGGGGGGAGCCGGTCTCTGCCCTAGCCCTGCGACGCTCCGGGGCGGGCTTTGTCTGGGGCTGGGGACGGTTCTCAGCCCTGGCTTCCCAGCCGTACTCTGCCCAACTTCTCCCCGGCCGCCCCCGCCGGGAACAAGGGGCCGGCCGCCGGAGAGGCCCCGACCCCCGGGTGCGGGATCGTGGCTGCCCGAGCCTCCCCCCCCATCCCGGCTCGCATCCGGCTGCCCGCAGCCGCCTGCCATCGCCCCTCCCGGGCTCTGCCCGCTCGGCAGCCGCGTGCCCCACAGCAACGGGGGAGGGGGGCGGCGAGAGCCCCCGGCCCCTCTGCAGCCCGCGGCGCGCCCGTGGCCAGGGATGGGCTCCCCGGGGCGCCCGCTCCCTCCCTGCCTCCGGCGGGCCGGGCTTTGGCGCAGCGCTTCCCGCGGCGGAGCCCCGAGCGGGGCCGGGCAGCAGCCGGCGGCGGGGGGCGCCCGGGGAAGGCTCCCGCTAGGCGGGCTGAGGTGCCCCCGCACCCCGATCCTCTTCTCCCGCCCCCCCCCAAACTTAGTAGCGTCCTGCCGCTCCTCGGCTGCCCCTCGCCGCCGCTTGGCTGCGGTCCGCCGCCGTCCCCTTGACCTTGGGGGCCGGGGATATGGTCTGGGGGCGGCGGGCAGGGGGACAAGGTCGGAGCCCGCCCGTGCCTGGGGCGAGCTGAGCGCGCCCGCAGCCCGGCTGCTGCCCCGGTTCCTCCGCCCCGGGCAAGGAGGGAGGCGGCGGAGCCTGATGCGGGACCTCGCCCCGGCGGGGCTCTGGCCACCGTCCCAATCCTCAGGGGGCTCCCGGCACCCCTGTGCCAGGCTCGGGGCTGGATCGCACCCCAAGGTTGCCTTAACACGGCCCCTCAAGCATGGTGCGCCCAGGTCAACAGCCAAATCCTCCGGGAGGCTGCGGAGAGGAGGCGGCGGCTTGCTGTGTGTTGTGTTGTGTTGTGTGTGTGTAATGGCTAGGGAAAGTTAAAATGTCAGAGCGGCTTTGGAGGAGTCTGCTGTTCCATTTCCCAAAGCTGCAGTGAGGCAGATGCACCCACAGAGGCGCTCCTGAGCTTCTGTCTGTCACAGGCTGCGCCCCCCCCCCCAACAGCCCCCCAAATACGCACGCTCCGGGATGGACGTGGCCCCATTGGTGAGTTACCGAGTTTCTCTCCAGCTAGGATGGATGTGATGATAACGTTCCCTTGTCTGCACAACCGCTGGCTTTCAGTAGCCACACAATAACGCAGCTGGGGAGATCAAGACAATTACAAAACCCATTTCTGCCCGAATTTATTTGTTCACCCTTCAGTTTTAAAGGGGCATTGTCAACTGTACATATGTGACTCCAGTTTCCAGCACCCTCCAGAATGTCACACACACCTCTACCTTTCTCTGTACATTCCTTGAAAAAGATCTCCGGCTTTTTCCTCTTTCCCCATTCCTGTCTGATGAGAATCTTTGTTGCAGGGAGGTAGTGAAATTGGCTGAGCACAAAGTGCTGTCAAATGCACAGGCTGGGGGGGGGGGGGGGGGGGAGATGTAGAGCAGAACTTTTTTTTTTTTTAAACCTTCTTTTGCTTAGTGTTACTAGTTAGTTTTTAGTAGCTACACAGTTTTCAGCCAGATGTGATTGTTTTATTGAAGTAGTGTTACCTTTTTGGACTTGGTTAAGTGTGGGTATATATTAAAAACATACTTTAGTATCTCTTATTCCAGAAAAGTGAGCCAATTGTATATTTTGAAGGTCCTTGCTGCTTGCTTTTCTGTTAATTTTATTAGTGTGGTTTTTTTTGTGTGTGTGTGTAAGCCTGTGTTCATAGTTATTAAAGATGAAAAGCTGGGACAGTGACCTTCTGATGCAATTTGTATTGTGGACCACTTACAGGATACATGAGAAGAGTAAAATCATTTTCTGGAAGCTTTCTAGTAACTTTCAATTCTCTTTTAAAATGTCCACAAGGACACAAGCAAATGGTCTGTATACCCCAATCACCCCCAGTAACTTATCAGACGATAAAATGATTTCAAGCAAAAATAAAATAAGCCAGAGTGAGAGTTAAAACCTCCATCTGTTTGAAATTCTGCAGCTCTTGAGGAAAAATACATTTATCTTCTTTGTATTGATTTCTTCTCTATTTCAGCCCTGAGAGTGGGGCCTTTCTCTCTGGTTCTGATGTATATTATACAGTAATTATATCTAGAAAGCAGGCTCTAAGAACAATTCAGGGAAACAAGCTTTGTCAGTTCAATATGACAATATTGTAAGAATAACTGATTTATATCCATGGAATTCCAACTAGATATTTGCATTATAGGTTGACGGAGATACATGCTCTGTGTTTGCATATCCATGTTCATGTACCGTGTATAGCTAAATGATTTGACAATGTTTGTAACTGTGAAATGGCTATACAATACTTACAGATGCTGTTCAGCGGGAGGCTTTGCTTGGGAAACAAAGTATTTTCTTATTAAGGCTTTTGTGGCTGTAGTTCTTCACACTGCTACCATGTTAGGCTTCGCTGATTTCATTATTGTAGGTTTTCTTCCAAAGGGTGATCACGCTTGTGGGTTGGGCAAGTTAGGACATGAAGACAAATAAGGACACTGTAGCCTTCTCTGCTGTGACCTGGTACATGAGCAGTGCCAGAGGCAGGAAGGCTGCAGTGCGCTCCTCAGGGAACTAAAACAGGACATCAGTGTTGATGACCCCAAATGGCAAATTTGTCAGAATTGGTGGTGGGGAATCCCTGCCAAAAATTAACTATTTAGTATCTGAAACAAAATATACTTGAAGTTGTTGTTTTTTTTTAAACCCAAGTTAAGAAGTTTAGGGAATGCAGATGTTTGTTTCATGTAGGACAAACATTATTTCCAGCTGTCTTTAAACGAGATAAGATTACTACTTCGTCTCTCCCCTTCTCCTTCCCCAATCACTTTCATTAGTGAAGCAATATGAAACAAAGACAATTTAACTTTGTAAAATAAAGTATGAGGTCATATAGAAAATAACACTTTTCACCTTTAGCAGTCCTCTAACAGAATTGTAATGGGTTTTTACCTTTGTACAAGTGTCTTGTTCTCTACTCCATCAGTAACCATGAGGAAAATCTATTGGAATCTTCCTGCAGTGCTCATGTAGTACATTTAACTGTGAACTTGTCCCTGGTAATTGCAATAGTTACTTTCATCTTAGTTTGATTTATTAAAAACAACTGTTGCTATGGGGTCTGCTCACTCATGCAGCTAAATTCATTGTGTCAATGAATAAGAAAAGGCCTAAATATTAATAATACAATAGCATCCTTAATAATCTGCATCACTGAGGTAAGGAATGTTTGTGTTCTGTTATGTATTTCATGACTAGTTATAGTACCTGGCATCTATGGAGCTATAAGCTCGTTTCTGTTTTCCTCCGAGAAATGTGTTTAAAAAAAAAAAAAAAAAAAAAAGGTGGATTTAAAAAAAAAAAAATCGACATGACCTAATTAGTTAGGTCAACTAAATTGGTTAACATATATCCACCTCCAACTTTTTTAAAAAGCATGATGATGGTGGCTTTTAGTTCTTCGCTCAGCAAGTATGAAGACTAAACTTCTTTTGGTTTTTTTTTTGGGGGGGGGGACGGACGGACGGGGGGAGAAGTCTTTAGTATTGTTTGTCTGTTTCCTAGGAGCTTGTGCCTTTGAGCTAATCAAATGCCACTTTCAAAATCTTTAAAGGTGCTGAATAAGACTGGTCTTGTTTATCCAAGATTTTCTAGAGCAAGGTGTGCGCTCCTGCACTTCCCTTTCATAGATAAAAATGGAATGTACAGGAGAGGGCTCTCCAAGACTTTTTATTTAGTCCTATGGCTTTTATGAAGATGCCATGTCTTACATTTTAATTATTCTCTTATTTTCAATGCCTTTTTAAATATGCTTTATGTTCCAGGAAGTGGCTAATGGAGTCCTTGCTGATAAAGAATGTCAAATACTCCCCTCTTCTTCTTCTTTTTTTTTTTTTTTTGTGCACTGGGAGCTGAGCTTGCTGGTATGCTTCTGAAGAGAAAACTAAGGAAGAGCTTTAATATTGTTAGCAGGCTTATAGAACTGATTCACAGCTAACAGTGCCAGGACAGAGCTTTGTAAAATCTTTAAGTGATGCTGGAAGCTGAGTGTACTAACAGCTACAGCAAATGTGATTTGGGGAAAGGGGAATTCAGTCAATGCAAAGGGGGAGGCGGAGAGTAATCCATTTTCAGAGGATAGACTAGAATCTGGATATCAGAAACACGGTGGTGCCGCAACTTTCTGTTTGCCTCAGATTTATAGGTTCTATAAAGCCATTGTTCTCAACTCTGTGGGGTCAGGCCCTATTCTGGGCCTTCTCTTTTTTAAGGGTGAAGAAGTGAGGTAGCATCGTGTGTGTGTGTGTGTGTGTGTGCTTTCTCTCCCCAGCCCACCTTTCTCTTGAGAGGTCCACTTCAATATGTTATAGAAAACTGGTGCAAATAGCTTTCTATCACGCTTTGGGAAAAGAGGAGCCTTTACTCAGAACTAATGAAGGATTTGCATAAACTAGCATAGAGACTTGATGATCATCAGCTAGTGTGTACAATAGCTTCTGATTCTTACTGAGATCTACTGTTGCACAAGTAGGTCTTGGCTGAGTTGTGAAGTCCTACTCTCCATTCCATCCTCCTAGAAAAGATTGAGGAGCACTGCTCCTCAATCATCTCCTAAGAAATCTAACTGTCCAGGAATATGATGTGGCTTCTGTTAGGAGTGTCCACTT